TATACCGAAAAAAAATAATCTTTTCCACAAATTGACCTGGGATAACTTGATAATCACATACAAAAGAATAAAGTTAGTGTTTGATTTCATTTTATGAAATGTTCAAAATAGGTGAATTCTTAAAGATATAAAATAAACTAATGGTTGCCAGGGGGCAGGGGAGGGGAAAATGGGAAGTGACTGATAATAGGTTTAGGGTTTCTCTCTGTGATAAAGAAAATGTTCTGAAGTTAGATGGTGGTGATGGTTGCAAAACTCAGTGAATATATTAAAGAGCAAAACATGAGCTGACTTCTATAGTATGTAAATTATGTCTCAATAAATTAAAAAAAATCTACATAGAGATACCAGTATAAATTGTTTACATTATAGTCATTTTCCAAATCGAATCATTGATGTTGATGTAAAATGGTAAGAGCAGAGTGTTTCCTTATGTCAAGAACAACCCCTCCCCACAGTCAGAGCATTATAGAAGCCAACATTTGACTCTTGACCAAAGGAATTTTGCTTTTTTCACATACATGCCTTGAGAACGATAGAGATAAATTGATACTGTGAAATGCCAGGTTGGTAGTGAGGGACTGGTCAAGGAAAATGCTCCCATTTCTCAAAACAAATCTGTAGCCTATTAAGTTAATTGACTGTGTGATTTGATGGAATGAGTACTGGACTAAACCTCAGAAAACCTGTCTCCATCTCTTACTGTGTGACCTCGCACTTGTCAGTCATCTCTGTATTTGTTTTCTTATCTGTCCAGTAGAACATCAATATCTGCCCCAAACATTTATGATATTTTCAAGAGAACCAAAGGAATACAAGATGTGAAGGTGCTTTGAAATTGACAGCACTGTAAAAAAATATGAGGCATTATTTATTTAACATCTTTCATTTTTCTTCATCAGACTTGATTTTCAATCAAGGGGAAACATAAGGTGCTAAGTTAAATGGTTCCTTTTGAATATTGATTGAGACGGTCTGGCTTTCTTCTTGAGGAAGAATGCTGTGTGGACTCAGACACTTGAACTTGTGTGACATTAACAGATAAGACTTTGTAGAAACTGTTAGGATTTTTTTTTTTACTGTATCATTCTGACAGCATAAGAATGATATGGCAGCAGACAGGTTATTGTCAATTAAACACGAGCTGTCAGAAAGTCAGAAATGTTGAAGTATGGTGAGCGTGAATCCTAAGCAGATCACATGGCAGCTGCTCAACTGTTATTTTAACAGAGTCGCTGTATGTATGTCATCTTCCTGCAGAATTTAATTTGAGTCCCTAACGACGGAGACATCCTTGTATTTGCATGCTGCTGTCAAGTCAGACTTGGACCTTGTAAATGAGCTGGAGTGGTGGGTGGTGGTAGGCGAGTGACATATGGAGGAGATGGTTCTTGTCTCATTTTCCTCACTCAGGTTACATTGAAGAGGCCTGCATCATCCCCTGCCCCTCAGACTGCAAGCTCAGCGAGTGGTCCAACTGGTCTCGCTGCAGTAAGTCCTGTGGGAGTGGCGTGAAGGTCCGGTCTAAATGGCTGCGAGAAAAACCTTATAATGGAGGAAGGCCGTGCCCCAAACTGGACCACGTCAACCAGGTATCTTCTACCATTGGGAATATGTTGAAGTATTTTTTACATGCACAGTGATCTGATTTTTTTTTAATCCAAAATGGAGAAGAATAAATAATAACCCCTGAAGAAGAAATTTGACCCATTTTGTCTTTAGAATGCCTGAGTAAATTATTAAAATCCCAAATCAGATACATGATCTCTATTCTCACAAGATTTAGTCCCCTGCATATTAAATATAGTTCAATGGAAGTAAAAATGAAATCTACCTTTGAAATAATGTCAAGGTATTTAATCTGTTATAAAATTGTACAACAATTTATCTACAGGGAGCAAGATTGTCTCATTCTTGTAGATGCCCTAGACTCTCAGAAAGACACCTCAGTCACCAACTACATAAATTAAAATCAAAGAAAATATATGAGCTGAGGTCTAAGAGTGGGAAATATATTCTGTACATTTATTTAAATTTGTTTGCTATAAAATAAGAAAGAAATATAAAGATGGCGTCAAAGTAACCTTATATTATCTGTCCATTTGGTCATTGGCCTTTTCAGTCTTACTTGGAACTTCCTTTGACTTCAGATGCATACTTTGTTAGCTGCTGTTCATAGTTGTTGCTCGTGTTCCATTGGAAATAAAAAGTTAAAGATCTAAGGGAGGGAATTGGGACTAATTTAATGTAATATAAGATGCATTAGACAATTATTACCATGTTTACCCTCCATGTGATTTAACAAAGAGTGAATTTCATACAGTATGTGTAGATGTTAGGATGTATGTTGAAATTCAGGTCGCAAATGAGCCAAGTCATATGTGTGAACCTGCCTTAAATATGTAGATATATTTCATACACACATAGATTGTCTAATTTTGATCTTCAGACACACTGTTTACCCATATACACACTTGCCTTCCCAAATTAACCCAAATGTATTCATCACAATAAAAGTAAATTACAGAGAAAATAAAAATAACTTTTGAATAAAAGGATTGAGGACCAAGAAAATGGAGAATTAAATTGCACAGAAGGTACTCTGAAAAAATGTTGATTTTTTTCCCCCAAGTAAAATTGCTGAACTTGCCCTTAAGCATAACTGAAGGTGACTCATACTGCTCTGCTGCCATCTGCTGGTGACTGAGTGTCTCTGTCCTGGCGAATGTCTCCAAAGGAGAAAATTCATGACCCTGATGAGACAGAATGAGTGAAATGTAATATTTCTAATACAAAAGAGTATTTTTCTAGAAGTTTTGAAATCTTGAAATAGCGATAGTAAATTTAAATTTTAATAAATTTTTATCCATGGTTGGAATAAATTCTACATATTTTCTTTCCTTTAGTGTGTATATGTGTATGTCTACAGCCAGTCAGAATTTAAATTCAAATGAGCTATGCTTACCTCAGCATTTTTTTTAACAGTGAATTTGAAAAAGTTCAAATTGATTGTCGCAAGTTGTCTTTGCTATATAAATTCTGTTAACCTAAGCCCTGCCTCTGTCACTCTGATTTAATGTAATGCAGAGTATGATAAGGACATCTGAATACTTGTTCTCAGCCTACTACTAGTGGTATATCGAGACGTTAACAGCTGAAAAATCAAAGCTAAAACAAGAAATAGTAGATTCCTGAGTCTCTGAGCATAAATATTCTACATTTTAAAAATACTAACTTCTAGGGATCAATTTGTTAGTAAAATGTGAGGAAAGTAAAGAATATGCAAAGGTCTGTGTAAATGTTGAAAACCATAAATCATACAGATTTTTACTACAGTTACGCATTCCCCAAGAAGTTATCAGCGGTACTGTGCCTTAAATGATCTCTGAGGTTCCACTTTCCAACTGAGGCACATCCTCATTTCCTAAGAAATACAAGTGGATGGATTGATTAAGATCACCATATTAATCAGTCAGTCAATCAGTCTATAGATAGTCCGTTCACACTTTGAACCACAAGATATTTGCAGTCATTTGTCAGTTCTCTATGATATGTATTTGGAGGTTTACCCAGGTTTCTAAGATTTCTTCATCCTGCCCATCTAATCCTTTCCTTGACTGTGCTGTTTGTAATACGCACTTGTGCATATCAATTAAAAAAAATTTTTTTTGGTTGGGGGGGAGGTAATTAGGTTTGCTTATTTATTTATTTTTAGAGAAAGTGCTGGGTTGGAACCCAGGACCTCATGTATGCTAAGCATGTGCTCTGCCACTTAAGCTGTACCCTCCCCACTGTGTCTCTTAATTTTAAACAACAGTAAAGTTGGTTTTTCTCTTTCAAGGGCTAGGAAAAATGTTCTTATCATTTACCCTAAAAAAAGGCTTTTATCAGTCGATAACATTTGACACTTAGAACACGAGTTCTTCTCATTGAGTATACTGACATTTTTACTTCTTTGTTTCTCTCCTTTTGCTTCATCCCTGTTGAACACTACTCCAGGCCCAGGTAAGAACTTTTAAACTTCATGCTTCCTAACAGAGTGCTGGGGTTTCTTCTTTTTCACTCCTGACTCTCTTCCTGCTGTTTCTTTTATCTTTTACAGGGAAAAACGTCATATTTTCTGTAGCATTTGTCTTCTGCAGCTGTTCCCTTTTCTTTCCCTAGCATGTTCCATGTGTTTTCTCATTTTAACATCAGGGCCTGAGGTGCAGGCGTGGGGGAGAACGAGCTTCGCGTCACCGGCCTGGAAAAGGCAGTGAGGCCTCCTGTTCATGGTCTCCTGCTCCTCAGAGGGAGAGGAGAAGGGGCAGGTGGGCTGCAGGTGGCGGCAGGTGGGCGCTCTGAGCTGGTGTGTTTTCACTCCTGTGTCGGAGACTAAAATGAGAGCCATCAAAGGATTAGGAAAGATGGTGTTTCTCCTTCAGTTTTTCCTTCTCTGCAAGTTGCCGGGCACTGTTTCAGCCGGTGGTATTTAGTCCTGTTTTAATACAACACCCAGAGCGAAGGTGATCACTATGGCAATAAGTGTAGATTCTTACTCTAACAGTGCATTTTTTTTATTCCTAGCTGGAGTAGGTCAGCTTTAGTCACTTTGCTTGGGTGTTTAGTCCACTAAAATTTGCCCAATAGGATGGCTCCAAAGGAGTATTCAGCACTATAATTTCTGAAATTAAAGAGTTATATAAAACTTTCCTGTACTATTTGTGTGTGTGTAGGAAATAGGGTTGAATTTTCATAGATTTTGAAATGATTTTAAAAGACACTTTTCTGTGGTTGAGTCAGCTCTGTTGCAGTGGATTTTGATCTGTTTTTTCCATCCATCTGGTTATTCTTCTTTCTCATTGAAGAAAGAGCATAATTGGTTCATTGTGCTAAAGATCCTGAAACCAGCCACACCACCCTAAGCCTGGGCTGCAAGCCCTTGTGGGCGCCAGAGCACAGACAGCGTGCGTTGTTCCACGTGGCCCTCGTTGCCTTGGTCTGTAGCTGTGTAATATGAGACCAACTTCAGACCTTGCTTCCAAGCCCTAAATGAATAAGGGTTAATTAGTTTTAAGATGGCTCTCTTTCATATTAATTATCTTTGAATTTAGTTTCATATATGGAATAGAAAAAATATAAATTCTTATTGGCATACATATTTATTTGGCAAACAAGCCAAATTGTGTGTATTTGAAAACAGCTACTTGTGTATGCGTAGGTAAGTCATCAGTTCGTTTATTCATTCATTCATCTTAGTCAACAAATCTCTGTAGAATGCCTGACCCATGAGCACCTGGGGCTAAATACTGGTCACACAGAGCTGTGAACCAGACATGTGGCCCAGGAAGTTACAGTACTGTGTGGTGAGGGCCAGTCCAGGGAAGGGCAGAGTATGTATGACGTGGTCAGTGAGGACAGAGCTACAACCACCGTGCGATGAAGGAGCAGCAGCACACAGCGCAGCCGGCCTGCCCTTTACTTCTAGAACTCTCCAGAGATTTTCTACATTCCCCTTTTGGAATAATGAACAATAAAGGAGAGGCTTGAGAGTAGCTAAACAAGACTATCGTGATTGCTGTGATGGGAGTGTTCGCACTCGCCGTGGTCGGGTTCCGTGGGGGGAGGTCGCTGAGCACTGTGTGTGTTTCAGGTGTACGAGGTCGTCCCTTGCCACAGCGACTGCAACCAGTACGTATGGGTCACGGAGCCGTGGAGCGTCTGCAAGGTGACCTTCGTGAACATGCGGGACAACTGTGGAGAGGGCGTGCAGACCCGGAAAGTAAGGTGAGGCCAAGCCTGATGGCACAGGCACCTCCCAGTTTCACAGGGGCCGGCGTGGGCTTGCCCTCCTCCCCAGTCTCCTGGATAAGATTGTCTCCAGTTTTATTTTTAGGGAGTCTGTGTTCATGGGAGGCTATGAGGGGATCTGCTCCCTGCAGCAGTTTATGCTGCTCAGCCTTCTGATTCAGGAAGCTTTGCTTCAAGGTGTTCTTCAGGGGAAAGAGCTGCATATTGAGTGCCAGATGAATCAGTGCAGATTTTCCAGCTCTAGTAACCTTTTTCTTAATTTCAAATGTAGTTCTAACTGTATTTTAGTGACAATCCTTTATAAACTCTTGCCCCTTTATGTCAAACTGGCTAACTTGAGAAAAGTCTCACCTGTTCCCCGAAACCTTCGTAAAAACCGCCAGCTGGCTCACGCCACTCTGTGGCCACGCCATCCAGTAGGGTAGCCACTAGCCATGTGGCTATTTCTCTTTAAATCTAAACTAATTAAAATTAAATAAAATGTGTCTCCTCAGTCACACTAGACACATTTAAGATGCTCAATAGCCAGAGGTGGCTAGTGGCTGTTCTGTGAGACAGCACAGTTTGTCTGTCATCATAGAAAAAGTTCTGTGGAGCAGCCTTGTCTGTAATACCCCACATACCCCTCATTGCTTTGAAAGACCCATCTACATCTCTGTCACCTTCATTAAATCCTGTGAGTTTCTCCAGACCGAGACCCTGTCATATACACAGAAATTCCCTAAAACCCAATACAGCTGTAATACTCATTAAATTATCCCTGCAGCATCTATGTATGATCCTTAAGGATTTTGGAACCTGGGAGACAAGTGTATGAGGCTTTATTATCTCCACTTGACAGAGTACATTCATAAGTACTAAGTAATGTACCAAGAACACACATCTAGTAAAGTGACAGAGATGGCACTGAGACCCAAGTCTCTTGTCACTCTTTAACTATAACACCTTCTTCTAACTCTGCTGAATGACACACCATAGAGACAAATAGGAAAACATCCAAAATGTGACAGCTCCTGTTGTGAAGAATCCCATTCTCACTCATGACTTAACGTTCCATGAATTTAAGATTCTTAATCTGTCTCAATAGGAAAGTAGAGCAAGTTAGCATTTGTATGATAAAACCTTGGCACACTATGTAAAACTTTGCCTCCAACAAAAATAATCTGTTTCTTTTTTCAAAAGCCCACCTGAATTCTCAAGTTACTTTTTAAGGAACTTGAAAAGGTGAATGGGGTGGGGGACAGGTTAATGAGTTGATGGGGAAACAGGGAAGAAAAAGATTCTGTTTTCTACCAATTTTCTTGCAGATTTAAAATTTCCCTTTCAAATTTAAAAGTATTTTCCTTATATTAAAAATTTTATCAGAGTGGTTTTTTGTTAGTAAAAAATAATAATAAAGAATTACTGTTACTTCAGCTTTTTTCGGCAGCTATCGATGTGTATATTGCTTCTTTTTGCTCAGTGAATATAAATTCTCAACATTTCTAAACATGTCTTCAACAAAGTAGCTTTTCAGGTCGATTTGTTTTTTCAGTAAACTTTTTTAATGCAGACAGAGAAAAGAGAAGATCAGTGTTAACTGGCGTCTCCGACCTTCAGGGACGTTCCTTTACTGGCCGGGTTGTACACCTCCCAGGCCTTTTCCTCTGCTGATTGAGGTCGACTGTCCTGTTAGAGGCAGGCACTTGGTGACATTTCAGGACAGATGAGCTCTCTTCCAGAGAGCAGGTTTCGGTGTATGTGCTGTCATTCTTTGTCTTTTAGGGTGGAATGGCATATCAAAGACTGCGTGATACAAGTGGTTCACCCTGGTGGTTGGGAATATTTTTTCACTGACTTTTTTTTTAGAATTGCCAGCACCTGCTGATAATAAAAACCAGACAGACGTGGTTACTCCTGTTGTTGCTTTTGCTATTCTCTGCAGATAATGCACACCTTAATGCCACATCTGTGGTAACCCTCAGGCCCTACCTTTGGCCTCCAACTTGGTTCTACACTCTGTTTTCTAATGTAGTTGTTTTCTCACAGCATAATTCCTTCTCCTATGTAGAGGAGAAAGGCCAAGAATTTGAAGAAAGCAAATGACCTTAAAGTGCTTTCCTTTTGGCTCAAAACTTGATCCAAATATTTATTCTGTACTCTGTAGTGATAAAAAAAACTCATTAGTACCAAATTAAATAAAATGTAAATAATCTGAATGTCAACATAAAGGATTTTTTAGCCATTGTGGCACATTCAAGTGATGGGACTCATAGTCATTAAAAATTGTATCTTAGAAAAACAGTTAGAGAAGATGTTCCTAATGTATTGTTGATATTTTTCTTAAATGGTACTACAAATAGTTGATAAAGTTTGCTCCTGTTTAAGGAAATAAAAACATAGGTTTAAATATAATAGTCTGTTAAGAGTGGTTATCTCCAATAGAATTAAGTGAATTTTTAAAAATTTCTTCTTATTTTCCTAAAGTGAATCTATTATCTGTATAAAAGTAGGAGGAGAAAAGCTTTGAAAATGAAGTTTTATGTACATAACTACATAATAAAGTATTGAACATCTGTCCTTAATTCAGGATCAATAGATAATTTTGCAAGTTAATCCTTAGATATCATGTCAGTGCCTAACTTGAATGCAGTCTTTTCTTAGCAGCAAATCCAACTTTGGAGACTGAACTGTCCTGTCTGCTCCATGTTCTCTCAAAGCTGCTGTCAACAGAATGTTTTAGAAATGCCACTGAAGCTAGACCTTTTTCCTGGGAAACTAAAATTCTCCCAAAGAAATTTATTATTTATTTTTTTCCTTTAACAATGAAATTAAATAAGTATCTACCTTTGCATATTTTGATTACTTTTTCATACATTTGTTCAATATACCAAAAAAAAATGCAGAGGTGGGTATTAGGGTATATATTTTTTACAGGCTGCATCCCAGTTAAGACATGACCAATAGCATCATTTTCCTGTCTTTGAATACATCCCGCTGGAAAACCACATTTCTATTAAAATCAGCAGCACTGTATAGAAAGATGATCTTACAGAGTAGATTTGTGAAAATGCAACGTCCCTACTGATCGTAAATCCTGGAGAAGAGTTGAGACTCCAGGTATAATTGGTAAGGTAATTCAGTCAGTCATTTAAAACATGGCCATGGGTTTGAGAGGCTTAAGAGCACAAGCCTTCCTTTTCATCCTCGGCAGTGCACTTCTCTTCCCAAACCCATTAGTTTGGTTGACCCTCTCTGAGTTACAGATGAGGGCGCAAGTTTTTCTCTTCTTTTAGTAAAGTACCTGGAGACATTATTAACTACGTAAAAGTGAAGTCTGATACTAGCCACATTAATTAGATTCCCAAGAGATGAGTAAAGGGCACTTAATGTCTGCTTACAATAGAATGAAATGTAATAAAATGTTTGAATTTGTTCTGTTAAAAAGAAAACTAATGAAAAAGGTCAAGATATAGAAAGATCCCAACAACCACGTTTAGAGAATTTATGCTATTACTATTATGATTGTCTCCTCACTTCTGGCTTTCTTTTAAGGTTATCAGCAGGCAGGAGGCTAAAATTCCTTTTTAACTGACAAAACAGTGTGATAAACGCGGTCAGTTGCTTTCAAAACCACTTAATGAAACCTCTCCCTAGGAGAGTTCAGTGTGCCTTGTCTTCCATCATACATGGATCTATCCACTCCATGGAAATCTACCATTACCCTCCAAAGGGAAAAAAAAAACAGTATATTCCAAAATTGCAACCCCTCTATGTATATCTTTGGACCACTTCTCATTAGTTTCTGCATCATATGTGGGTATAAATGACCCTCTCCTTGCAGAAGAAGACATACAGCATTTACATGCACAGAGTGTACACACAGTGACTGTAACTTTAAAAGATTATGATGATACATAAAAGCATAGATTTTTAAATCATACTGAAGCTCTGTCACTATTTATGGGAGACCAAGATCCTTTTATGTCTTTATGTTTGGTGAATTTTACTCATAAAATGCAAAGCTTCCCATCCCCTAGCCCCATGGTGATGTCTTAAGAAAAACCAAACATCTTATGGGTTGGCCATTGTTCTGATTGTCATGGTTTCTTCACTGATAGATGTGTTTTCTTCTAGATGCATGCAGAACACAGCGGATGGCCCTTCTGACCATGTAGAAGACTACCTCTGTGACCCAGAAGAGATGCCCCTGGGCTCTAGAGAGTGCAAATTACCATGTCCTGAGGATTGTGTGGTATCCGAATGGGGCCCATGGACCCAATGCACTTTGGTGAGACGATTAATCATTTTTTAATATAGAGTTTGCTCAGTTCCTTACCACTAAAGCTTCAAAGATAGTATTAAGAAAGTAACAATTTGGGTACTAAATGAGTTACCAAATTAGTTACCAGATCAAAGTGTGTTGTTGGCTACTTCATTCTTTTCTGGCTGCCATTTAAGTCAGCAGTGTTTTGAACACACTAAAACAGTTTGCGCTCTTGCAGGCTTTCTGCTCTTCCACCACCCTCCTAAACCCAGCACAAGATGCCTTTGGATGGCTTATGAATACACAGCATGCTAAAAGCTGCAGTGGGGATAATGATTCCCTCTGGGTAAGGGGAAAAGAGTGACGCCCTAGTAAAGGTACTTTAACGGTGTCAGGTTATTATTGTCCCTTGCTTTTTGTCCAATCCATTTTATTTAAATTGTAGGAATAGTCTTTCAGACCGTGGGGGTACAGCAGCAGGAGTATTGACATGAAAATGCAAAAGATTCTGGTAAGAACGGGAGTGGAAAGGAGAAAGCTGTACATCAGTGAATCTCTTTCCACACACTGACTCTGAGTCTCTTTGGCCCTGCAGAGCCAGCTGGGAATTTCCAATCCCACAGAGCTTCTAGATTTCAGCAGCCCGCAGGGGTGCTTCCATGGGACCCTGGCAAGAGAGGCACGTGAAACAGAACTGGCTGCTGATGTGGGAAATGTGGCTTATCCTTGGCCACTTCTGTAAAGCTATACACTTAAAAACAGCATCAAAAGCACAGGATAAAAATGCATCTAATGTGGAATTAATTTGCCGAAATACAGCATAGGACAGATGCATGTTTTCAAAGAGAAATTAATTTTCTGGTTCAGTGTTAACATTATTAAACATGCTGATTAGCAGCCAGCAGATACAGCAGGGATCAAACAAGGCCGGCAGGTGACTTGGATTCAGGTTAAATTATAGTAACAGTAAAGAATCAGCTGCCTCGCGAGGGCTTGCAGATGATTTTCCATTTGCATTCCACAGCGTCAAATCTGAGTTACTCTTTCTGCTCTTAGTAACCAAGTGTTTTCAGAACAAGACGGTGCCAGTAGAGTGGCAAGCCCGTCTTCTTGAGTGCTAGGTTGTGTTTGTGTGCATGTATGTGTGCGCATTAGGGAGTAAGGGTCACTAATAGCTAGTTATTTAAAGTCATCCTTAAAACAGTTTTTCAGGTCTGAGAAACTGTTGTTAGACAGGTAGGTAGATAGATACATTAATTTATTATAACGTCTATATTAGCCATCTGTAATAATTAATGATCACTTGTGTGTGGGTGCTGTGATGTATCCCTTTTTTTACCTTTTTTAATTGAAGTATCGTCAGTTCACAAGGTTTTATTAGTTTCTGGTGTACAGTATAGTGGTTCAGTTATCTATATGTTCCTTTTCATACTCTTTTTCACTATAAGCCATTACAAGGTATTGAATATAGTTCCGTGTGTTATACAGTAGGTCCTTGTTATTAATCTACCTTATATACAGTAGTATCTACAAATCCTGAACTCCCAATTTAGCCCTCCATCCCACCCCTTCTCCCTTACCAGTGACTTATCTATCCATAGTTGACAGACTCTTTTTGTCAGGGTTTTATTGAGAAATAATTGATAGACATCCCTCTATATTAAAGGCAGATAGCATGATGGTTTTATTTACATATATTATGAAATGATTAACATAATAGGTTCACCTAGCATCCATCTTCTCAAATAGGTATAATAAAAAGAAAGAAGAAAGGAAACAAATTTTTCTGCTTTTGGTGAGAACTGTTAAGATTTACTGTCGTAACAGCTTTCCTGTCGCACAGCAGTGTGAGCTACAGTCAGGTTGTACATTACACCTCTACTACTTATTATAACCAACTGGAACTTTGTAGCCTTTGACCACTTTCCTCCACTTCTCCCTCCTCCCTACCGCCGTCTCTGCAACCACGATTTTGATCCTTTTCTGTTAGTTTTGTTTTGTTTTAGATTCCATGTGTAAGTGAGATCACAGAGTATTTGTCTTTCTCTGTCTTATTTCATGTAGCACAATGCCTTCCAGGTCCATGTGTGTTGTCACAAGTTTGTAGGAACCCTCATTTTTTATGTCTGAGTAATATTCTGTTGTATAATTGTACTACAGCTTCTTTACCCATTCGTCCATCGATGGACACTGAGGTTGTTTCCATGTCTTGGCTATTGTAAATAGTGCTACTATGAACGTGGGGGTGCAGATTTCTTTTTGAGTTAGATAGACTCTTAAACATTGTCGACCAAAGAAGAAAACCACACAAAAGCTGCAAGTTCAGTTTTATTCAGGGATCTTACTGAGGACTGAAGCCTGGGAGAGAGCCTCTCAGCTCTGAGGAACTGCTCCAAAGAAGAGGTAAGGGAGGAACCAGGATAACTAGGAAGTTTTTGCTGGGAAAAAAAACATGTAGCCGAACATCAAAAGATTACTGCTGATGACAAAAAACAGACATCTCAAGTTAATGATTTGAGTTCTTTCCTATATATAGGAGATACAGGAATCTGGGCTCATTGAAATTGTTCGTTAGGTTTGTATCTTAACTATCTTGGTTCAGTGTCCACAGCACAGACTGCTTCCTGTTTTTCTCCATCCTGATTTTCCCTCAGGGCACACGACGTGGGCGGCTGCAGTGGCTGATGGCTTGATCCTTGTCGAACTGGAAAGGCGGGCAGCATTCCCCGTCCACAGTGTCCTATAGTTAGATGGAGCATCAGAAACTTGTCCAGCACCCTGATTTTATAGATGAAGAAACTGAGCTGTTATGGAATTGTTTAAGCTAGCCAGTGGCCCAACCCTTCTAACTCCTGCTCCAGTGCTCTCCTTAATACATTAGCTCTTCTGTGGCTGAGGATTCACCTTTCTGACGAGTTATATTATTCTTTGTCAGCCTTGCAATCAAAGCAGTTTCCGGCAAAGGTCGGCTGATCCCATCAGACAACCTGCGGATGAAGGAAGAGCCTGCCCCGATGCTGTTGAGAAGGAACCCTGTAACCTGAACAAAAACTGCTTCCACTATGATTATAATGTAACAGGTACGCGAATTGTCATTTCCTCCTGGAGTTAACGGTCAGATCCCGTGTCTGTCAGCTCAGCAGCATTCCCGGAAGTATTGCCCTTCTCCCATCTGCGTGCCTGCTGCTTCCTCTCCCAGAAATAATCCTGTATTAAATGACAGAAATATTTGTCTTATTTTTTTTAAT